TCTACTTGACCTATAGCTATTGATTTGATTGTTTTGAGTTTTTAAGATGGACTGAACAATTCTTTTTACAGAGGAAAAATAAGATTAATAAAGATATTAATGTCCATGTATGCCAATTGATAATTTCAGGTTGATGTATTTGTAAGACAAAAATGTGTGTTACACTATTTTAATTTCAAATGGTAATATTTTGATGGTTCCTTTTATTTAAAAAAATCAAAATTTAAGGCTAGATGTGTCATATTTATATTGTAAATGGTGAGTAAACATGCATATCATTTTCACATTTCCATGAGCTACGAAAAAATGAATTGATAGGGTTGAATGCAAAAAAAGAAAATGAAAAATGATTCATTTAGTACTAATTTTGTATCTACAATGATCAAATTACTTAAACTTTTATTAACTTGAGTTATGCGTCTTATTGTTTATATTATATAACACTCTGATCTCAGTCTTACAAACACACATTTTTAATGTAAATATTTTGTGGCTAAGCCATATTGTAAAATGTGTAATATCAAATAGATTAATAAAGAGCAAAAATAAAGACTGCTTGTTTTAGCTGACAAAATTGTTTGCTTCACAGAATGAGAAAAAAGTTCTTCAGTTTATATATAAGGGGCCTACTCAAGGTGAAGTGTGGTTTGTGTTCAGAAAACACCTGCACAGTGAAACGAGAAGGAAAAACAACTTCCATGCTTTTACTAGTTTTATTCAAATATGTATAGTTATTCTATATTTGGAAACAAAGCAAAGGTGAATGTATTTACACAGGAAATAGTTTGCGCTAGGGCTGATTCATTTCACTCTTAGTACGCAGTAGTATGGTAAAGTTCATAAACTGTAACCTCTTTAATATCTTCACATTTCTATATAGGAATGCTTCAAAATGGTGCTGGAACACACAAAGGTGGAGATAACTGGAGTAGTCACCAAAATCAGTACCAAGAGGAAGACCGTTCTACCTTTTCCAGCATGCAGATGAAGGCCAGAGGAAGCAGTTCATCTCTGATCTCAGGCAAACCCATGGCTACCAAGGTAACGGACCGGAAACTGACATATTTCTGTATTGCTGCACAAAATAATAATATTAAATATATGAATTAAATGATATTATATTATATGAAGGTTAATAATGTTGATTTGAGTTATTCTGCCCAAAAAAACTAACTTTTGAGCTCAAGTAACGCATTCTACTGAAAGAATGAGTGCTGTAACAAACAAACCTTAAAATGTATCTTTTTCCAATTGTGATTTCAAAGGTGTCTGTTGCCTTGGAGAGTGATTTCAGAGGTTCTGGCTCATCTCACATTCAAAATTCCACTCTACAACAGGAGGTACAGTTCAGTCAGAAAAGGTTTCACTTCCCTAGCAGCACCTTACCTAAGAAATAAAGGGTTGTAAAGAATAGAATAAACTTGTCTTTCTAACTTGTCTTTATCCAGACTGCCAGTGAAAACACAAGCAAACATTTCAGACAGCACAGACCATCAGTACTACGCAAAGGCAACCAGCCGTTCCCACAAGGTGCTGGTACTGCAGACTTTATCAAAACAAATGAAATACTTTATCTCTGACACTAAACTGTTGATAATGCTCCACAGCTTGTGGTGTTCATGACTGGGTTGTGGACACTGTGTGTAAGACAGAACCTGACAGTGCCCTGTCAGACCCTGTGCCACTTTACACCAACCAATCAGAAAGTCCTCAGCCTGGCAGCACAGAGCATACTGGGAAGTGAGTATCTGCTTTGAGAACATAAACACACAAACAAATAAATAATGCCTGTGTGGTCTCAGTTTTGTGCTAAATGAAGCATTTATGGTTATCTCTAGGCATGCATACAGTCTTCCATGTGGCTTTCTGTGTGTTAAAGGACAATGTGGATGGCCTGGGTGCTCAAAGAGCAGAGAAGTGTTCAAAGAATATGGACATTTCTTAAAGTGAGACAGTTATGGAATTAAAAATATCATTTACTAAATAATTCCAACAATACCTGATATCTCTATATTCCATAATCTAGACACCTTTCTACTGACCATGCTCCTGGGGACAGAAGTATAGCCCAGTTGAGGATCCAGAAAGACAAAGTACAATACATGGAGAATCAGGTATGCAACCCCAGTGCTCAAAAACAACGGTTTGTTCTATATTACGCCAGCTTATGTGGGAAATACAGAACCAATTTAATATGCATCACAGGAGCTAATGATACATAATGCAGGAGGTTATAATAAGAACTGGATTATAAAAGGATGCCTGTTTATGGTCTTGCATTATATTTACTATGTGAATGTTACTGTTAGTTGATTGCAGACAGACAGAAACTGCAGGCCATGCAGCTACACCTGTTTGACGTCAAATCTACCTCTGAGGTAAGCTCTCTTGTATTAAATTAGTTTTGAAATATATAATACATCTAAATAAGTGGTCCAATCTATGCTGCTTAAGAGAGAGTAATTGGCGGCCATTCGCTGGCAATCACAGAGCTCATAAATATGAGTGTAGCCACCCATAAATCTGGGAAGAGTTACAAGGCAATTGCTATTTTAAGATGTGTAATAAGAACACACATTTACAAGTGGAAAAAATCTTCCCAGCAAGCTCACCTATTAAGGTAAGAATATGTAATGCTCAGAGAAAAGCTACATCAATTGATCTACGCTCCTTAGTTAACAAACAAACAAACAAGTATAATGCTATTGAAAGGGAGTCAGCAAAAATCATGATTTGTAAGTGCATTATGGCTTTGTCTTCACACCAGTTTATTCTTGAGACAAATGCAAGGACATCTGTCTGCCAGCTAAAGCAGACCTGAAATTAGGTCACACCAGACAACAGTGATCTTTAGCTAGTCTACAACAGTAAAAAAAAGGGAGCATTCGAAAAGCTAAGACAAAACCCTGTGTGAATTAATCAAATTATTCCATAATGACAGTGGGATCTGTTTATGTTCTGGTTGTCATTTGAGGTTAGATTTTACCTGCTTCTAGGGCTTGATGAAAGTCAGATGATATGTTGATGTAATTTTCTCCCTCTGATCTTAGGATGGTAACAGTGTGGAGAAGTCAGGACATCTGTCAGAACTCCTGCAACCTGCAGCATGTCAGAACGCAAATGGTGTCTATGACAGTGACAGAGCGGCAGCTGAAGCGCTAACACAAGGATACTGGCAGATCTCTACCTCACAAGTTATACCAGGTCATCCAGCACACACACATTTGTTACTATTAAAATTATACAATACAAAAATACTGGCTCTGATTACCAGTCGTTCATATTTCATCTCCACACACAACACTACGGTATATGATGTAATTATTTTCTTCATGCGTTTTCTTTTCTGGCAATAGGGATTATCCCCAGTTTTGAGTATTATAAGTTCACAAACATGAGGCCACCTTTCACCTACGCCTCCATGATACGATGGGTAAGTACTGCTGAATTGAAAATCCTGTATATTACCTTTTCATTTCCTGTCAGTCACATAAAAGCTGTCTTTTATGCCAGGCGATACTGGAGTCCCCAGAGAAGCAGCTTACTCTGAACGAAATCTATCACTGGTTTACCCGCATGTTTTTCTACTTTCGTCACAACACCGCCACATGGAAGGTATGAGATGAACTGTTTGTACTGTAAACCTATTGTATTTGTCATTCCATGACGCACTGCACACAAGCCAATCCTGAAAGCCACAGCCTCCGATTGTAGACCAGAAAACTTTCACAACTTGTATGTTAATGACAGAAAGTGATGACCAGGATGTGTGATTACAGTGGTTTTTTGTTAGGACTAAGTGAATCTTATTCGTCCCATTAGATGTAACATGATTTAACAAGTAATCTATGTGTCTCTGTCTGTGTGTAGAATGCTGTTCGGCATAACCTCAGTCTTCATAAGTGCTTTGTGCGCGTTGAAGGAAGAAAAGGTTCTGTTTGGACCGTGGATGAAGAGGAATTTCTGAGAAGAAAAGGACAAAAGTTTCACAGGTAAACTGTCTTTCCTTCTTCATAGCGGTGTCAATAACATTGTACTTTCCTAATGCATGTCACACTCCTGGTGGATAGTTGGTTGTATGTATAAATACAAGAAGTTAATTTTAAAATGGCTGAGTAGTAAAGGTTAAAAAAAACGACTTGGGCTCTTTGGATGGATCTAAGTGGATCTATTGTTGGAGGTGGGAGAATAATGAGATTGATTTATTGCAGTTGCACCACTTTTTCCTCCAGGGATCAGGATATGGGCTGGATGGCACCTTTTCACGTGTTTCCTGTGACTCCACAAGGTGAAACTTATCAGATGCGAGGCCCAAATGGACTCTCATGAAGAGATTACAATCGCATTTCAACCACTAACAATATTAACAACTTTAGTAAGAATGATAAATATTATGATAGTTTAAAATTAACTTTCATTTTTTATAACATATATGTTTTAAACATATATCTGGCAGTCTGTTTCAGACCTAATTATGTTGTTTTTTTTGGAAAAAAAATAATTTGTGTAAGGAATTATGAATCTTGCATAATCCAAAGATAAAGTTAAGTAGTGGGTGTTCAGCAAACGTTTCACTATCCTTCTTGCTTTTAAATGTACTGATTAAAAAGTACAAGTACGTTTTTTATAAAGCTTACAATTGTACATCAATAATGATACTAATGGCATCGTATGTAAATACATTTAATATGGTACTTAATTTAATAATTATGCTGTTAAACAATAACTGTACATTTTCTCTCTATGAATTAATGTCATAAAATTTGATATTCAAATAAAGATCCAAACTGAAACGCAATCCAGCATTGTTATACTGTTATTCTGGTACAGTATACACTACACAACGTCAAGTTTTGCTTCTAATAAACTAAAAAATAATGCAAAACCTCCCAGTCAGAAATATTTCACAGTGCGTAAATGCAACGCAATGGTGATGTACTCCATGCTCCTGCTCGTCACCAACTGCAGTACAACGTCTACGATTGGCCGAGAGATTTTTGCGCGGTGCATTTCAGCCAATCAGAGCTTTGTTTTCGCGCTCGTATGCAAAGCCTCAGATACATGGCGAACGGAAGGGCAAACTGTAAACAAATACAACAGAACTGGACAGTTTTAGACGGATTGTGACTTTTAAGAGAAACGTAACTCTATATTACGAATGCTGTGTGTAAATACAAACGGAAATATTCGATATGCGACAATCAGCGAGAATTTAAACTAGCCTCATTCAGCGTTAGGAAGCTACCTAGGCCTGCTGACATTTGCGCAGACTTGGAATTTGGTAGTGCTGTAATGCGAACGCGGGCTCTGGATAGAGACCCGCACAGTTAACTCAATTAGCATTTAAAATTTGTTTTAAAATCGTCTGACAAAGTTACAACTAGGCAGCAGCATGAGTACAAACTCGAACAGCGGTCAGCCGTCCGAAACTAACCAGAGGAAAAGAAGTGCAAGTCCAAGTGTTGAGTCTGACTCCACGCTGCCCAAGCAGGCATCATCACAAGTAAGTGATGAGGAACCAAGGAATGACTCTCGTGAAGATGCAGAACCTGAGAAAGTTGGCAATGATGAGCCAAAACACGGATCTGAGCATCCTGAAGACGCTAAAGAGAAGGACACGGTGATTCTGAATGAAGCAGATGCGCAGGAGAGCACAGGACAGGCTTGTGGAGGTGAGAGCGAGCGCCAGCCGTCAGATTCCGCTGCCATCGCCGCAGCAGAAGCGCTTGCCAGTCTGACCGGTGGAGACGCGGACGAAGACCGTAAAGAAATGCCCCGTTCGTCTAAAAAAGCGAGCCGAGAGAAATCAAGGGATAAGTCTAATCGTCCCAGTTGCTCTCAGAGCGAGAGAAGGACGGAGGCAGCCGCGGCTGACAGCTCCTCATCCCTGCTGCTCTGCGAGGACCGAGAAGATCCAGAGCAGGCTTCGTTCGTGGATGATGAGGAGGAGGATGACGACTCTCTTCCTGGCTCTTCCTCCACGGCTAGCTCGTCTGTCGCCTCTGATAATGATGATAACGAGGACGGAGAGTGTGCCATAGTGTCGGTGAAGATGGCCCCGGAGGTGCGGCAGTCCGTGGCGCTGCTCGCACAGGTGCAGATGCGGCTGGACGCGCTGGAGAAGAAAGGCGCGCGTCTGCATCAAGTTCACCCAAAAATGAACATTATGACATTAATTACTCACCCTCATGTCGTTCAAAACCCTATAAGACCGTCATTCATCTTTGGAACACAGATTAAGATATTTTTGATGACCCTTCATAGACGGCAATGGAACTACCACGTTCAAGGCCCAGAAAGGTAGTAAGGACAACGTTGTCCTTTGGGATTTTGAGGGGGCCCTATAGCAAATTCTGCGATTGGCCCAGAATCCCTAGCAACTTTACTCATCATACTCAAAACTCCTATGTTCATTTTGGTTTTCCATTTGCGTCAAATATGTTTCAACCAAATGATTGTGGATTCCAGATCTTTGTCTTCATTTACGTTATGTGCGCTTAACTTAAAGCCAATCAGCTTCTGAATCACCCACTTCTATCAGCGCAAATTGACGAGACTGATGAAGATGCTCTAAGCTACATGACTAACTTAGAGGTAATACATTTTTTCCCGTTTTTCTTTTTCCTGTTTTCAAAACTGGCAAATGATCCATGTTTTTAATATGCTCGTCATTCGACAGATTGAGTCTTTCAAGAACAACAAACTTGGTTACCGCATCTGCTTCCATTTCCGGCGAAATCCCTTTTTTCAAAACAAAATGATAGTGAAGGAGCTTCATCTTGGTATGGGAGGTGAGCTGACCATTATCACAGTACCCCTCTTTTCATGAATGTGAAACGGATTACTCTGGGACACATTTATTTATTCTGGGTTTTAATTTTTTGAAAAAGGTAAATGTGCTCTATCTGTATGTGCTTTCCTTTTTGCTCAGGGTCACCGGTGTCGTTCTCAAACCCGATTTTGTGGCACAGGGGGCAGAATCTGGTCGGTAGTGGAGAACCACGTCGAACATCACAGGGAGTCTACCAGAGCTTCTTCCATTGGTTCAGTGACCACAGCAACCCAGGAAGGGATGACATCGCGCAGGTACATCTCTCATGTGGTTTGGTGCAGGAAGAAGGGCTGTATAAACAGGCCATAACAAAATCCTTAAACATAGTAAGGATGATGATTTAAAAAAATGATTCCCTTGATTCTAGATCCTGAAAGATGACCTGTACAGAAACCCTTTGAGGTACTATCTGACTCCACTCTGGGAGCCACGAGAGAATGGCAGGTAATCTTCTCTAGCCTGAAACATCCAGATTTTTCAGTGTATTTTTAGGTTTTGCTTTTTTTTGTTTTAAACCAATTTCTGTTGTCCAGCAGAGGTCCCAAACCTCAGGGCAACAATAATGGAGACGAGTGTGTGATCATCTCAGATTCAGATGAAGATGAGGAGAAGAGCCAAAACTTGGGGCAAGAGGATGAAGATGATGACCAAGTCGGAGGTGAGGTTTTCCTTTTCACAATCAAATCATGTAGTTTAATATAAAGTGCTTTTATAAAGTCTTTCAAATCAATAAATAAAGCTGGTCTTTTTTTTCCAAATCATCATGACTGATCATTTTCTCTTAGGCTCAGAAGAGAATGACAGAGATGAGGGGGAGTCCTCCTATGAGGAGAGAGATGAAGAGGAAGTGGATGTTGAGGAAGTAGACGAGTCACGTGACTCTAGTGGCTGTGAGGTCAGAGAGCAAGGACAGGAAGAGGAAGATATTGATGTAGATGAAGAGAAGAGTTAGGACACGGGGTTGTCTCTGTTTCTTTTTACGCAGAATAGCATCATTCGAATTTTCTATGATCTGTTTTACTGATATAATTTCCTGCATAAATTAAGAGTCTGTTTCAAATAACAAGTGGTTAATGATGCTTAATGATCAGGGTTTAAATATGTCTTCATTGTAGATGGTACTTTCAATACATCAAAGATGATGAATATTCAAATCCAATGTGTGCACTCCTCCGAAAACATGTTTTCCTTAAGATGTCTTCACATTTTACACTTATAACTTTGCATTAACAGATTTCAGAGGGCTACTGATACCAGTAAGACACCTCTTTTATCTCACAACGGACTGTTTAAAGCTTGGGATTATAGACTGCACTTAGTTTAGTTTAGTTTTTGTATGACCGTATACAGTAGCATTGTCTGTCACTCGCAATCATGACCATTTATAAACACACCATACTTTCCTGTTTGGATGTTTTACAGACCTAATCATGTTTTTCAGTCATTGCTGTAATATTTTTGGTTAATTGCTGTTTGTGTTACTTTTTTATCCTCATCTACAGAATTCTAACATCATGAAGCATTGGGTTTCCTTGCCTTGTTATTGTTCATAAACTCTACCACCGCATTTTGATTATAAGGAGAAAGGTCAAACATTCTGAAATGCTCTTCATTCTGAACCAAAACTAGATAACTCAGGGATGTTTACTCTTTTATCCTCCTTATACTGTAGATGTGTTTCCCTTCACAAGCTTCATTTATTCAGTTTTGTGTCATTAATACATAACATCTTTTGTTTATTGATGAACCTTTAAATAATTGTAGTTTATTTAACTTTGTTTACATAAGCAGATTAAATCCTGACACTTGGTACCTCTTGCTATGGTGATCATGTGATCCTTCAAACTACTTTTGTCATGTCTAGAATTGACACACTGTCAACACATGCACGTTACCATTTATTCACTGCAATGAATAACAATTGTAATGTTATTTAAATGAGCAAAATAGTGGCAGGTCATCTTGTGGTGTCCCCCCCCCCCCCTTTTCTCGCCTAC